TTACTATTAACTAAATTAATTAGTATATATATATATATATATATATATACATTTTAAAATTATTTTCAATCTTATATTACCCATGTTGCACATCTCGTGCAATCTTTGCAAGTAAATGCAAGTAAACCTCAATATTCTAAATTTTATCTAAATATAGAATAATTAACTTTTCCAATCTGTTCCAATCTCATATCTATTTCTCACACAATTGTATCCATCCTCTGCTCTGCAAACAATTTACAAACCAAAAAACCAGACTTTCCAACTCTTATCTTCTACTAAAGAAACCTCCTCTCCTTCTTTATCATTTATACAGAATACTGACCCATGCCTCACGAATGTTCAGGTGTCGATCCACGATTATTGTTGGGCGCAAACACTGGGGGCGATCGTAACACGTGGAGGGTCGTTACCGCGTGAAGGAACATCGGCGTGCTGGAAAAGCGACCTTTCAAGGTCAGGTTTACAACTTCCTGGAACGTCCCACCGGCTGGAAGTGCTTCCTGTACCACTTCTCTGTGTGAGTATTTACAGACATTTATATTTTTCCATATCTTCAATGTACTTGTTTTTCTTGTCATGTGTGTGATGATATTGATCGTTATTATTTTATTTTATTTCTTTTTTTTCCCCATTGTATAGATGACATTGAACTATGCACTACCAGAATATCGATGTAACAATCAAGTTTTCAATTTAGAATTTTGGATCGCACGTTTGATTTGTATTTCGATAAGAAAGAAGGTTTCAAACTTTGTACGTTAAATAGATATGTGGATAAAGTTATCCAGGAAGGGTAGGTATTTTGCTTCTTTTTTGTTCCTCTGATTTTGATTCTCTGAGAAGAGATTAAACATTTCTTATGGACGATGAGACGAGAGAAAGATTCGCTCGTTTTACCATGTCATAGGTAACTTTCTAAATTCGTATGTGTACCTTAAAAATTCTTGAAATTCTAGAAATTAATGAGAGAGATAACTTCGTGATATAATAAAGCGAGCAGAAAGTACGATAGTTAACCGAGCACTATATGCTGTATTGTATGTATGTAGTAGTATGCAAAAGCATTGGTTTAAACTGGCCTCGAGTGTGTTTAATGAAGAAATATATCATAACTTATCGTAACTTAGAAAATTGATCGAACTTGATTTAAAATTCAATCTTATTTTGTAAAGAAAATGTGTGAAATTTGTCCATTTGCATGCTACTACAATATACAAATTTTTGAATTATTTCACGCGAAAGTGGATAAATTTTTCACTTAAATGTCAGTGATGATACATGGAAGAGCGGATTAACGACATATTGGCCCCGCTCCTTAGATTGTTTTCCGCATCAATCTTTATTGTCAGTTAATAAACGTCACAGAGTATGTTTTTTCCGAAAAGATTGATCATGCGAATAAAACATTTCACGTAGAATGAACAGAAAATTAATATTATTCATAACTTGGTTCGTATAAAAGTGAATAAGATGTAAATTCAATTGCGTGAATTTTCATTTCAAACGGAGAGAAATGTTGGAGAGAAGAGATAATCATTTAAATATTAATTCTATTGGAAATTAAAATGTAATATGATTTGTTGTTATGATTATTCAATTGTCTGGACATTGTATAGGAGTTGTATAGGAGTTGAAATTTAAGACAGGACGTAGAAGATGAATAGTTCAAGGAAAATAAGGTTTCCAACATTTTTAGCAAAATAGTAATATAAGTTTTTATTTTAGAAAATTATACAATGTCTTTTAATATAGTACAATGTAGATTGTGGTATTAAAACTTGTGTAACGATAGATTGTGTATATTTCTGTATTTAGTAAAATAGATCAAGGTAATAATAATTGATAAAAGTATAAAGTGAAAAGTAAATGAAAAAATATATCTCGGTGAAGGTTGCGTGTTAAATAATAATAGCATGTTAAAAAAAAATGAAAAATACACGAAAGTGTTTTAAAAATTTATCGTGGTATCTAATTGAAAACAATTTTTGGCTTTATAAAAAATGTTCAGAACAAAAATTCTCTTTTAAATATATTATTTTTATATAAAAAAACGATAAGGCTGAAAAATAATTTTTGCAAATGATTACATTTGATTCTTTTTTTAATTTCGTTTTAATTTAAAAAATTCGTGAATTTTATGGTATTATATATAATAATTTCAAAATATTTTAAATAAATAATAGAATGATTTAATATCACAAACGATACATTCATCAAAAATATATTACATTTTGTTAAAACATGGATAAATTTTATATAAATTATTTCCAACGATCGATCGTTGGATATTTATTTACAAAGATTTGTTAAAAAGTTAAATGTTCCTCGTATAGATGGCGCATATATACCGACGTACATCCCTTCGTCTGATCAATATCATGGTCATATCACTTACCATGCGTTCATGTATAGAAATCTGCAGCAATGTGACAGTTATTTTTTTTTTTTTTAATTTTTCTAATCGTAAATTTATAACAAAAATTACCATTGTCAAGATCCATAAAATCGTAACATTTATTGACGCAAAATAATTATTTCTCCAATATAAAAATGTAATTTAAAAAAAAACAGATTTCTAAATATCCACGATAATCTAGGATTTTATGTATCTTTTTATCTTTATGTCTGGAATACTATATTTTTTTTTATTACCATAATTCGTTTTATAAGGTTTTAAAAGATATAGATTCGCATATAGATTCTCATTCACAAGTTATGAAATGTTTAATAGCAAGAAATAGGATATTTGATATATTTTTTATGCTAAAAGAAATCAGAAAAAAATGAAAAAAATGAACATTCTATTATATCTTATGCTATAAAAAAATTTTATAACAAATGTTACATTTAATATTAGAAAATGACTTATAGAGGATTGTGTGTATAACTGATGACTTGCTGCTCTTTACATGAAGGAAACAGCTTTTTTTTTTACTTTAAGCTACCCTTCAAACATTTTTTCACGGATATTAATGATCGTCCATCTATCACATTTCTATAACAAATGAAGGTTTATTTTTTTCAAGTTTACTTCATTTATTCGAAAGGAAGAAAAATTGATACTTCTTCTTTCTTTCATTCCATTATAAATAAAGTTATGAACAATGGAAGATTTTTTCAGGAATATATTGCATATTATGTTTGGTGGAAAATGTACAAGAGTAAATGTCTTGGTTGACATTTTAAGAGTACAAGTTCTTTTCATAATATTTTTTTCATAAACAAAATAAGGATAGAATATAATTTATTAAGTTGATTTATTTCAATAGATTTTTATTCACTATTAATGAAATAAAGTAACTTAACATACATTTTTCTATTCTATTTCAGGTATTTTTTTTTTAAGTTTTTTACATTTTTAAATTTTGATCGATATCAAATGATACGATTGTAAAATTGCATAGAAAAATATGCATCCTTTATGTGGAATAAATTTTTTATGATATAAAAAAAAAATTTATGCTGTATAAATCAAAATCTTTTTCATATTTATATTTTCAAAATATATGGATGATTTTTACATCTGTTTCAGATATTCTACAACATTTTTTATTATCGTGTTTCGTATGCAAAAACAATTAAATCTTTAACACATTGAATTCAAATAAAAAAAAAGAAAAAATTACAAATTGGAATATTTAAATAGAGAAGAAAGAAATATTTTATATTTTTATTTATCCTTTGAAAATATTTTTTTCTAACTTTATATAATATTTTTAATAATCATTTTTATTTCAGTTTGTAAATAAATTAATGACAATGAATGTTCTGATTTAATAATAAATGTAATAATTATTAATAACATTGAAATCTTAATTCGAGAACAGAATGTTTCACTGGTCATTATTGATGTAACAAATTGGTTAATGCAGGCCAGATGTTATATTATAATGGTAAATTGAAGGTGTATGAGCAAGAATTTTATGATAAATAATAATGATATTATTACTGTGTAATATTGTTGACGTTGACGGCACACAAATGTTAGTTGAAATATAGTTGAATTATATAAATTTATAATAAAGTGATTAGAGACATTATTCTATTACGTTAAGATTAGAAAAGTCTAATTTGTTATATCTGATTAATATTTTAACATATTTATATAATAAATAATTAATACAAAAAGAACTTTTTTTTACAACGTAATCTTAACTTAAAAAAAAAAAAAAAGAAAAGAAAATAAAAATTTACACTAGAAGAAAAGTAAACTGTCATCTAGCAAAAATACCAAATATATACCAATCTAATAACATAATATTTCATACGTTCATTATTCATAAATTAATCCTCTAAATATTCTTTAACCTACTAACACATATATATAAATATGTACAATTCAATCATAATATCATTTCATACATATTCATTACTCGCAAATTAATTTATATTTCTTTTTCAACACGTGATAGGATGTGAAAAATGATCCTCAGAAATCTACAAGGCCAGTCTTGTCTAAATTTAATCCAAAATTTCCAGAAACACGAGAACTCTTTCACACCCAAACGTCGTCGATCGCCAATTATTCCTTCCGTGAAAAGAATCGTAGGGGTGTGCAATTAAGTAATTTGCCTTGTCCATCGAGCAGGGAATACCTGGCATCGCTATCGTGTCAAGTTATTCAAATTATTCAAATTGGATCATGCAACGCCTATACCTTTTTGCATATATATCGTGTACAAAAAGGGGAGGCTTTGTTCGCGTGAGGAATGTTTCAGTCGATGATAACCGGAGGCTTTGACGGTAACATACTTGGGGGAAACTGGCTT